CCGGACATGTCCGGGAAAAACCGGACATATGGTAACCCTACCTCCCAAACTGCGAGCCTCAGGCAGGCAGCCTGAATGAGGAAACATAGGACTTCTCCCAGCTTGTGCCCCTGAGGCAGGGAATCAGAATTTTGTTTATAAACAGAGTGATTAACAAGTGATTAAGATAAGAAAGGGCTGTTAGGCTGTTTCCTAAAGTTAAATGATCTGTTCCAAACTTGGTGAACTGCAAAAAGTAAGTAGCCTAAATGATAGAAAGTAATTGTAGATTTTTCTACAATTGTTTCAACTGTTGTATTCAAGAGGTGGTAACAAAGTTACTAATATTTTTCTTTGAGAAGATAACTGATTGTTTAAACAAAGGAAATGCAATAGACCTAATCTACCTGGATGTCAGTAAGGCATTTGATGCAGTTCCACAGAAAAAACTATTAGTTAAATTAGAGAAGATGGGGATTAATATGAGAACTGAAAGGTGGATAAGGAACTGGTTAAAGGGAAGACTACAAAAAGCCATACTGAAAGGTGAACTGTCAGGCCAGAGGGAGGTTACTAGTGGAGTTCCTCAGGGATCAGTCATGGGACCGACCTTATTTAACATTTTTATTACTAACCTTGGCACAAAAAGTGAGAGTGTGCTAATAAAATTTGCAGATGACCCAAAGTTGGGAGGTATTGCCAATACCGCGGAGGACCGGAATACCATACAAGAAGATCTGGATAACCTTGTAAACTGGAGTAATAGAAATGGGATGATATTTAATAGTGCAAAGTCATGCATTTAGGGCCTATCAACAAGAATTTTTGCTATAAACTGGGGATTTATCAGTTGGAACTGACAGCGGAGGAGAAAGAGCTGGGTGTATTGGTTGATCACAGGATGACTATGAGCCGTCAATGTGATGCAACTGTGAAAAAGGCTAATGCAGTCCTAGGATGTAACAGATGAGGAATTTCCAGTAGAGAACAGGGAAGTGTTAGTACCATTATACAAGGCACTGGTGAGACCTTGTCTGGAGTATTTTGTGCAATTCTGGTCTCCCATGTTTAAGAAAGATTAATTCATACTGGAACAGGTGCAGAGAAAGGCTACTACGATGATCTGAGAAATGGAAAACCTATCTTATGAGAAGAGACTCAAAGACCTTGGCTTGTTCAGTCTAACCAATAGAAGACTTAGGGGAGATATGATTACTCTGTATAAATACATCAGAGGGATAAATACCAAGGAGGGAGAGGTGTTATTTAACTTAAGTATCAATGTGGACCCCAGAACAAATACATATAAACTGGCCATCAACAAGTTTAGGCTTGAAATTAGGCAGAGGTCTCTAGTCATTGGAGGAGTGAAGTTCTGGAGAAGCCTCCCAAGGGGAGCAGTGGGGGCAAAAAGTCTAATTGGCTTCAAGACTGAGCTTGATAAGTTTATGGCAGGGATGGTGTGACAGGACTGCCTACAATGGCATGTGGCTCATCGGTGACTGCCTTTAGCAAAAATCCCCAACAGCCAGAGACAGGACACTAGATGGGGAGGGCTCTGAGTTACTACAGATGGGGAGGGCACTGATGGGGAGGGCTCTGAGGGTACTGAGTTACCAGAATTTTTTCCCAGGTATCTGCCTGATGGGTCTTGCTCCAACTAATCATTATATTTGGGGTCAGGAAGGAATTTTCCCCTGGGTCAGATTGGAAGGGACCATGGGGGATTTCCACCTTCTTCTGCAGCATGGGGCATGGGTCACTTGCAGGTTTAAACAGTATAAATGGTGAATTCTCTATAACTTGAAGTCTTTAAATCATGATTTGAGGACTTCAGTAACTCAGCCAGAGGTTAGGGGTCTATTACAGGAGTGAGTGGGGAGGTTCTGTGGCTTGTAATGTGCAGGAGGTCAGACTAGATGATCACAATGGTCCCTTCTGACTTTAGTAAGTGTATCTGAGTAAGAATATACATTACAATTTTAAACCTAACCAGTGTCCCATAAGTGACTTGCCACAAGATGTCAAAACATGTTAGTATTAGAGCTGAGTGGGTCTAATATTTATTTAATTTTCTTTCTTGATATAGGAATTAGATACAATGCTCCTGTCAGATATTTCTGTTATTATCTGCAATAATATTAACTCTAGTGTTCTCGCCTCCCCACTCCCCGCCAGGAGCAGGGGACAGCCACCCAGGCTTCTTGGCTCCCTGAGCGAGGAGCCAGGCAGGGACAGCCCAGCTGGGAGTGGGGAGTCGGGGGGCAGTTGGGCTCTAGCTGTCTGGCTGTTGTGTCAATTTGACACGACAGCCAACAGCCGATGTAAGTAACATAGTGTCTACACAGACACTACATCACCCTAACTACACCGACATAAGCCTTATGCCTCTCGTGGAAGTGGAAGTATTATGTCGGTGTAGTATGGAACTTACATCAGCAGGAAAAGGCTGTAGTGTGTACACTGACATAATTAGGTTGACGTAAGCTGCCTTACCTCAACCTTACTGTGCAGTGTAGACCAGGCCTAAGTCCAAGCTACAAGAAAACATCTATCTATGCTTGTGACCCTCAGCCAAGAACCCCTCTCTTGGAGTCAGGTGGCTTAGGGGCCTAAGTTGTTTCTAGCAAGAATGAATTAGGCACCTGCCTAGTTTTACACAAAACAGACAGAGGGCACAGGGAACCTCCTTCATAACCTTTATCCCAATGGTGACGCAATCAATATTTAATTATTTAAGTAAAGTTGAACAACGTCAATAGGAGCAATAAATGGGAGGATTTCTTTAGGGATGGACAACCCCTAAAACAGATGTAGCTGATATTTAGAAAAGAAAAGAAAAGAAAAGAAAAGAAAAGAAAAGAAAAGAAAAGAAAAGAAAAGAAAAAAGAATCCAATGCAGCTAAGAAAAACATCCAATCTTTATTTTAAAATTGTCAGTGATGGAGACTCCACCAAGACCCTTGGTAAGTTGTTCAAATGCTTAATTCCTCTCATTGTTAACAATGTATGCCTTATTTCCTATCTGAATTTATCTAGCTTCAACTTCCAGGCACTGGATCTTGTTATACCTTTTCTCTGCTAGATTGAAGAGCCCATTATGAAATATTTGTTCCGCATGTAGGTACTTATAAACTATAATCAAGTGTATAATCAAGTCACCACTTATCTTTCTCTTTGTTAAGCTAAATAAATTGAGCTCTTTGAGTCTGTCACTATAAGGCGTGTTTTCTAATCCTTTAATCATTCCAGTGGCTCTTCTCTGAACCCTCTTCAATTTATCTACATCCTTGAATTGTGGGCACCAGAACTGGACACAGGATTCCAGCACCCATTGCCCTAGTGCCAAATACAGAGGAAAAGTAACCTCTCTGCTCCTACTCAAGAGTCCCCTATTTATGCATCCCAGGATCGCATTAGCTCTTTTGGCCACAGTGCCACACTGTGAGCTCATGTTCAGCTGATTATCCACCCCCACCTCCAAATCTTTCTCAGAGTCACTACTTCCCAGGATGGATCCCTCACCCCCGCATTCCGTAAGTATGGCCTACACTCTTTGTTCCTAGATGAACAGATTAACATTTACCCGTATTAAAACACACATTGTTTGCTTGCACCATTTACCAAGCGATCCAGATCACACTATTATTTACCACTCCTCCCAATTTCCAGGGCATCTGCAAACTTTACCAGTGATGATTTTATGTTTTCTTCCAGGTCATTGATAAAAATGTTAAATAGCACAGGGCCAAGAACCGACCCCTGTGGGACTCCACTAGAAGCACACCCATTCGGTGACAATTCCCCATTTACAATTACATTTTGAGACCTATCAGCCAGTTTTTAATCCATTTAACTTGTGCCATGTTAATGTCATACAGTTCTAGTTTTTTAATCAAAATGTTGTGCAGTACCAAGTAAAATGCCTTAGAGAAGTGTAAGTATGCCAACATCAGTATTATTATCTTTTCAACCAAACTTGTAATCTCATCAAAAAGGGATATCAAGTCAAGTCTGATAGGATAAACCTACCCCAGCCATTATGTATAGAGTCAGGCGGCCTCTGAGCATACCTAATGGATCAGACCCCACAGAAGAGGCACACACTCCTCCCACAGTTCATGAATTGCACTGGGGCTTTGGCAGGAGACAGACATCTAGATGCCCAGAGGGAAGCAGCCAGGCACACGCCCAGAGGCAGAAACACAGGCACCAAGGGAATTTTTACTGCAAAAACTGGGGCACCAAGGGGGCTTAGGTGCCTACAGGATTTGGTGGCAGTCAAGCAGTTTTGTGAATTGCAGCAAGACCTAAAACTGGGATTCAGGCGCCTAGATTCCTTTATGAATCCAGGCCTAAGTCTAACACCTTACCCAAGTCCAAGCGTATTATATTAGCATACTTACCTTCATTAACCAGACTTGTAATTTTGTCAAAGAAGAGTATCAAGTTCATTTGACATTTCACAAAATCATTTTGAAAGGCATGAATTACAGGCAGCCTTCGGATGAATTACTGACTACACTACTGTGTAATATTATTATTTATGTTCCAGTAGTGATCAGAGACCCCTAATCAGGATCATTGTGCCAGGATCATTGAGAAACACACTACACAAACACACACAAGAGCTGCCCTCTGCCCAGAAGAACTTACAATCTAGTTTGTCAGGATGCAAATGAATGTCTGTGTGAGTGTCACAAAAACCCAAAGACTAAAAGGGGAGGGAGGATGAGAGTAACAAATTAAAACAGGTTTAAAAGTTATTCTATGTGTAATTTTGTAATTTTTTTAAAACACTTGCTCATTTTTTAAAAACTTCTGCCTCTTTAGGAACTGAAGCTCTGCCAGACCAGCTCAGACTAGATACCTCTGGTTGGGGATCCTGGCTCCAATGGTGATCAGTACCAGATACTTTGGAGGAAGGTGCATGAAAATCTAGTGGACAATTTTTTTAAACCTCTGCATGTTTCTGTTTAAATATCTCCATATTTTTATTTACACACAGATCATAAATAACCATGTGTCTATCGACTCAGCCCCAGAGTGTTGGGAGGGGGGTGAAAGGGGCCTCAGGGCCATGCCCTAAGCAGGTTGATGTATCAGGCTTGGAGCCCTGAAACCTGGGTCAAGATCTCAATCAGAGGAACTTGGGCAATGTGGCTTGAGTGGGTTACGCTACTGGGGCTTGGTGATGTGTGCCAGCAAGCTAGGGTATCAAGGGGAGAGAGGGAGAGACAGAGCCATGGTGGGGGACTATCTGGGCTTGGACAGCAGGGTGCATAGTTCACAGGATCATACTTACCTGCTTTGGTTGTAACCTGGGCTCCTCCAGCCGTCATGAACTCCATGTTTCCCAGCTGAAGAGTGCCAGAGAGAAGTTTGAAGATGTCATGTATCTCTTCGGTGCTAAACTCCATCACTTTCAGAGCAGTCTACTCAAAGCCACAAAGAGAAGACATAACTTATATCAGCAGGGCCGTGCTGTTTAAAATAAGAGGCTCAGAATCACAGTCACTCAGATGGAAGAGACCTATTAGAGATCATGTAGCTCATCTCTTGGGGAGTGGCTGTACATTTATTAGTGTATTTTTAGATCTTTTCTAATCCCCTCTCTCATACACATTATACCCAGCTATAGAGCTTTCTGCTTACCTATTCTTCCCACCAGGTTTCACCTCTGCCCCTACACTAAAATCACCATGTTTCAATGTCATTGCTAGTTCAAGTTTGTTTCCCTTATATTTTAATATATTAAATACACTTCTTTGGCCTTGTTTTCACCAAACACACACAGTCAGGTCTGTCCAAGTTACAGGGATAGAGGTATGAAGTGTCCACACCACACATTTTAAACAGTGTTGTAATCAGGTTACCTGGCTCAGTTACATTTATAACCTTTACCTTCTGCCTTACTTTGGGTGTTCAAGGGAAAGCGTCCCTTCTCCTGACCAAACCCCTCACCAGGCCAGACAATGCAGTGCACGTGCCATGCTAGATAACACAAGTGAAATGCCAGAGCAATGCATGCAGGTCACATGATGTTGCAGCACTTCACGAAACGTCCGACTCTTTGAGCAGTTCTGTGCTGGAGACAAGGCCACTCTGACTCTCTCAGGCATTGCAGCACCTGCATGGTGTTCTCAGGCTGACTCCCACTTTCAGGTCTGGGCTTCCTCTCTTTTAATCTGTGACAATATTCCTGTTCCATTCATATTTTAAGAGCTTCCCCTGTTCGAGGGCCAAACCCCATCCAATACCAAAAATGATCTAACCACAGAGGCTATCAGGGATGGGGAAATTACGCTAAAGAAATTGCCACAAGATCACAGAGGAAGTGCCACATGGGACCCAGGAGAAGAACTCACCATGACCTTGTTGAACATCTCTAGGTCATTCAGGTTCTCATCACTCACACAGCCGGACTGGTTCAGGTAGCGATAGCTCTCCGGTTGAGAGAGAGACAGGGCTTCTGCAGCGAGCCAGTCCCCCAACATCACAGAAAGAGAGGGGGGCAGGTGTTAGTTTACTCAGGAATCATCTGACATCCTTTGCTACTTTTCCCTTCTAAGTTATTCTGAAGGCAAAGTAGTGGAGAGGATTTTAGATCTGGAATACTAGCAATTAGTGAAACACATCAAGATTTTATTCTCAGGCCAAGCTCCAGATATTCCAAGTCTGGCTTCACCTCCGATATAGGGAGACCACTCCTCTTTTTAAAGATGGAAATTCACTGCTAAGAGTATTTAAATTAACAGGAAGGAGGATATAAAACTAATCCTATGGGATTCACCTAACCAACTGCTCTCCCACTTTTCAACAGAAACAAGCCTGAGACAGTCAGAAAACAACATGTGAGACTGTGTGGAAGGATAGAGGAAAAAACTGTTACCTTTCGTAATTGTTCTTCGAGATGTGTTGCTCATGTCCATTCCATTCTAGGTGTATGCATGCCCACATGCACAGTCATCAGAGATTTTTGCCTTAGCTGTATCTGTAGGGATGGCTGTGGCGCCCCCTTGAGTGCCGCGCTCATGCATCGGTATATTAGGTGCTGCTAGCCCCACACCCTCTCAGTTCCTTCTTGCTGGCAACTCCAGAGGGGCAGGAGTGCAGGTAATGGAATGCACATGTGGAGCAAACCAGATCGAGGTGCCACTGCTTCTGATGCCGAGACCAGCCCTTGATCAGCCAGTCGAGGTCTGGGTAAATTTGAATGTCCCGATACCTCAGGTAAGCGGCCACTGGCACCATGCACTTTGTAAACCTTCTCGGGGCTGACAAGAGACCAAAGGGCAGCGCCGTGAATTAGAAATGGCACTGGCCCAACACAAAATGGAGGAACCTTCTGTGTTCTGGGGAAATGGAAATATGAATATATGTGTCCTTCAAGTCGAGGGCGGCGTACCAGTCTCCCAGATCCAGGGAGGGGATGAGGGAGGCAAGGGAGACAATGTGAAACTTCAACTTCTTGAGATGCTTGTCAAGGTGACACAGGTCTAGATTGGGTCTCAGGCCCCATTTGCTTGTGTTGAGCAGCCAACGGTCTGATGTCACTCACGACCATGCTGACTGGAAGGGGCATAAGCAGTTGAGGAAAGAACAGGAGGATGGATCCAGGTACTTGACAGAGGTGCCGCCCCCGTTCACACCTTCAAAATGCCTGTCTCTGGTCCCCAGGGTGTTTTGAAGGGCCGGGTTGAGCCAGCGAGGGAGAGGACGAAGGGCGGCATCGCTTAAACGCTTTGTCTTTGTCCTTTCACCTGTAGGATCCCTGCCGGAAAGACCCCCAGGACTGAGGTGGAGGAGGAGGCTGGAACTGCGGAGTGTGGAGGCCCAGCAACCACCGGGTGGCCCGGGAATCTTTGAGGTCACGCAGCCTCGCGTCAGTGAGCTCAGAGAAGAGCCCTACACCCTCAAACGGGAGGTCTTGGACCGTGGCCTGCATCTCTTGGTATAACCCCGAAGACCGTAGCCAAGAGCTGACCCCATGGCCACCGCCAAGGCAATCACCCAGGTGACCGAGTCTGTAGTGTCCCAGGCCATCTGGAGGGCGTCTGTACCCTAACCTAACCCTTCGCCACCGCTTTGCCCTCCTCCAGGATCATGGCAAACTCGAGGTCTAGGTTCTGTGGAAGGGCCTCCATAAACTTGATAAGGGAATCCCATAAATTAAAATTATACCTGCCCAGCAGGACTTGGTGGTTGGATACCTGGAATTGGAGGCTGGCCGTCGAATAAATCTTTCTGCCGAAGAGGTCTAGTCATTTGGTGCCTTTATTTTTTGGTGTGCCACTCACCTGTTCCTGCCTGTCTCTCTCGTTAACTGCGGACACAACCAGCGACCCCGCTGGTGGGTGCATATAGAGACATTCAAACCCCTTTACGGGGACAAAATACTTCTTTTCCACACTTTTGGACATGGGTGGAATCAAGGATGGGGTCTCCCACAGCGTTTTAGCAATCTTTAGAACCCCTGGGTGGACAGGTAATGCAATGCGGGCTGGGGTGGAGGATGATATGACGTTGAACAAGTTGTCTGATTGCTCCTCTAACTCCTCAGTTTTGAGGTTCAAGTTGGTAGCCACCCTTTTAAGGAGTGCCTGGTGCTCCTTAAAGTCATCAGGGGGACTTCCAACAGACCGGGAGGGCCCAGCCACTGCTTCGTTCGGTGACGAAGATGACGAGGGCAGCACTGGGGGAGGGGTGGGTTCACCCTCCCTTTTTGGAGACGGCACCTTGGGTGTTTGCGCCTGTTGAGTTGTCCCCGTGGTGGATTCCACACCGTGTTCCGAACCCGGTGCCGGTGGTTTGTCCAAGGCAGCCACAGGGGAGAGGTGGGAGTATGGAACTGGCATCACTGGTACCCCCGAAGGGTTCCAACATGGCCATTGAGCAGGCCTCTGTCCCTGCTGTCACGCCACCAACACCACGCTGGTCTCGCAGGCTGACGGGATTCATACTGCCCCTTGGCAATGGGCTGAACCCCAGCTCCGACTCTGAACAGTCCCCTTCTGGGTGACCATGGTGGGGCTGTGAGGCCTGCATATGCCGACTAACTCTCGCCAGAGACCGATGTCCAGAGGATGAGGATTGCTGCCTGTCCCTGAAGCGGTACCAAGGCAGCGGAGATCAGTGCCGCAATGGCGAGAGGTCAGGCACCAGTGGGGACTAGCACCTAGGAGACCGCCTGGGTGATAGAGATGTGTGCCAAGGTGATCTGAGGCAGGAGGCTAGCCGGTACCGGGACTGCGGGGACCGGTGTCTTGATTCTGGCGATCCGTGCCTTATGGTAGGAGAGCACGGTGTTGGGGACCTGGGAAGGGGGAACAGTGCCAGGAGGATCCTGGTGCTGGCAGGGCGCTCCACACCAATGCCAAGGTGCTAGGAGCAGAATCCAGTCGGGAAGGCTCTGATGCCGGGGGCAGCATCCATCAGGAGCTCTCTCAAGCGGATGTCCCTCTCCTTTTGAGTTCTGGGATGAAAGTTTTTGCAAACCCTGCACTCATCTTTTATATGGGATTCCCCCAAGCACTTCAAACAGCTGCTGTGAGGGTCACTGATAGGCATCGGCCTGTTACATGAGGAACACGGCTTAAAGCCTGGGGAACGCTCCAGGGCGAAGTCCCAGTTGGGACTCTAACCACTAAACGAAGAACTAAAATGTACTTAAAATGCTAACTAAGTACCTACAAACTAAACAGAAAGGGAACAACAACGGGCTGTTAAGAACTGCTAACGCTCTTGCTATGCAAGACAAGGCACTCTGACCAACCCTCATGAGTGGTAAGAAGGAACTGAGGGGGCACCACATCCGACTCTGTGGAGACCAGCACGTGGGCACGCACACGCGTAGAATGGAATCAGCATGAGCAAGCACTCGAAGAAGAGGTCAACACCAGATGAGAGGAGGGTCAGCAAGGGAGGAGGAGAGGGGTAAGTGAGGTCAGCTACAGCAAGTACATGGATAGTTCGAATAACCAAGGAGGTACATTGTAAACTGGATCCTGAAAGGAATGGGCAGTGTGTGAAGATATGTATGGACAGCTAAGGAGGCCCCCAGTGGTCTCCATAGAGAATACATTCCTGAGATAAATTCAGTAAACACAAAAATCCTCATTATTTAAAGAGGACATTTCTTAGGGATTTTAGACACAGAATATGACCAGCCTTAAAAGGGGAACTGCAAAAGATTAAAAGCATTAAAGAAGCTGCTAGCAATGTCCTGTCAGTAAGAGGGACATTTGGTCCATAACAATGCACCCCAAAGAGGAAATTCTCTTCAGCTTTCTGCAGTGTTGGATGTTTAAGTACTTCTTTAACTATGGACACCATTAGGGAAGTGTTTAAACGTCCTGTTATCCACCTACAGAATATAGAATCAAATTCAAGGTCTTGGTCCTTGTCTTCAAGGAGTTTAATGGGCTGAGTCCAGCATATCTAAAAGAAAACCTGAAGCTCTGGGATGAAGACAGGTCGACCCACTCCATTCCTCAGGCCCAATGGAACTTTCAACTGTAAAGATGAAGCTTATTTGTGCAGGTAACAGATTTTTCTCAGGGGCTGGTCCAAGACTGTGGAATGAACGCCAATGAGAACCAAGAGCCATTGCAAACCACAGCATCTTCCACTGCAAGTGCCAAGAGCACTTTTCTGACCAGCCTTCTCTAACAAACACAGCAGCGCAAACAGTAGGAGAAAAAATCCTACCAAAAGAAAACATTGCACTGAGCACACAACTCCCCTCCGACCTGTTGCCACAGAAGAACAAACCGTAACAGATGTTGTCTGTCATGTCACTTAATGCATGACTGGAAGGCGCTAAGGCACTACAGTTTTGAGGAAATATAAGAAGTAGAATAGACCCAAACTGAACTGAATCCTTCTGGCATCCTTGTCCCTCTACATTATCTCTTCTGCTCTCGTGGCTTCAATTACTATCTCTTTGTTGTGCTGATGAATCCATGGTATCTCCCCACCCACTCCAGCCTCATCTCTCTTATTGTCTCTCTAATATCCCACTCCCAAGGCAAAATTAACATAGTGAAAACTGAACTCACCTTTCTCCACAAAACTTCCTCTTGTTCACCCTTCTCTATCACTGTTAACAATCTCACCCAGATTCACCATCACTGTGTCATTTTCAGCCCCTTTCTGCCCCAGCTATACAGCTGCCAAATCTATATGATGTCTCCAAATTCCATCCTTCCCCTCCCCATGACTAGAGCTAAAATCTTTATCCAGGCTCTGGTTGTCACTTGCCTCCACTGCTACAACCTCCTCCTCTCTGGTCTCTCCAAATCTCACCTCTCCGTCTGCCAAACATTCTACCTTGAAAAATCTCTGCTGCCTGTTACTCCCTCTCTCTAAATCCATCCACTGGATCCCTCCTGCCTTCTGTATCAAGTTTAAGGCTCTTCATCCTCCCCTTCAAAGGCCTAAATAATTTAGCTTAGCTCTGTGCACTCCTCTCTGTTTCCCCTTTGCCGTGCAAAGACATCTCTCTCCCACTTTCTCTTATGCCTGGAACTCCCTTTCCATTCTAGTGCAACAGATATGCACTCTCTCCTCTCTCCCACTTCTTTTTTGGGAAGGCTAGCCGTGTTTATCAACCACCCGAAGTGCTGTTATTTATTTTGGAAAGACTGCCACCCCGCTCCTGCTTACTGCTCCTGTTTATACAAGGATCACATTAGCTCTTTTTTGCCACAACATTGCACTGTAAGCTCATATTCAATTGCTTGTCCATTATGACCCCTAATCCTTTTCAGAGTCACTGCTTTCTAGAATACAGCACCCCATTTTGCAGGGTGGCCTGCACTCTTAATTTCTAGATGTACAACCTTGTACTTGGCTGTATTAAAATTAATTTTGTTTGCATGGGGCCAGCTTACCAAGAGATCAATTACCTTTCTGCTCCCCACTGACACCAGCCAGCAATGCATAAAAGATGTGGTAATTCCGCTCTCCCAGGTTCTGGTGCACAACTCGATTCTGAAATGAGCACAAGAGGACAGCAGATAGCAAGTGAAATCCACATTAGAATTAGAATTCATGGTAGTGAAGAACATTGAGAGGGCAAGGCCCTCAGGGAATCTCTAAGGCCAATGAAAGCAAAGCAGTAACTGGGGCCTTGAGGGTCTTACCACCCAAATCAATCTCACATCAAAACATGCTCTTGTTGCTACTGCGCATGTGCAAATTTCTCTGAACTCAACTATTAAACATGAGTAAGGTGGGTGCAGGAACTGAAGTTTCAGTGAGGTCCTTGCCCTTAGCCCTTACCTCAACTGAGTGTTCGACCTTCCTGAGTACACTTACTCAGTGCAGGGGTTCTGCAATAATGTGTGAGATTAGAGCTCTGGTTGACAGGAGCAAAGTGCCCAGGAAGTCCCTCTCATCCAGATCCCAGGCTCTTTTGTCCATATCATGGAACCCAGCCTTTATTTATAATAATAATATATGGAGATATACCTATCTCATAGAACTGGAAGGGACCCTGAAAGGTCATTGAGTCCAGCCCCCTGCCTTCACTAGCAGGACCAAGTACTGATTTTGACCCAGATCCCTAAGTAGCCCTCTCAAGGACTGAACTCACAACCCTGGGTTTAGCAGACCAATGCTTAAACCACTGAGCTATCCCTCCCCACAATCACTAAATGACATACAGGTGGGGGGTGTACAAAAAGGAGGGCAAATTTACAGAAGGGCACATTTTGACATATAGGGAGACCTCAGCAAAATGTATATAGCCAGAGGTGCCATTTAAGGAGGGCAGGGGAGCATCTCCTCCCCCCCACCCCCAAGTTTCATAGCATAGCGGAATGCAAACAGGAAAGTGAATCACTTCTCCGTGCTCTCGCCAGAGAAGCCAGAAGCCCTTAGCTGTGGTCTGAGAAGTTGCTGCAGGGCTGTCCCAGAGGAGCTGGACAAGCAGCTCCCCCCACCCTGGCTCAGGTTTCCTTGGCTGTCAGCTCTGAGAGAGAGACCAGGAGAGCTGACAACACCACCACCCCTGCAGCCCCGGGATCAGAGGGGCACTCAAAGCAATTAATATGGGTAAATAGCTCCTTGTTACCCATCTGATAGGATGAGAGCCAGGAGAGAGCAGTTTCTGGATAGCCTTGGCCCAGAGAAGGGACCTGATGAGTGCTGATCTCCTTAAGTCTCTCCACAAAGCTGATCAATGTTATTGTCAGTGTAACAGTCAGTGCTGCCCTTATACAAGTCAGCTGCGCCTGATGGAAATCAGAGGAAGTTATGGTACATACCTCTACTTCTCAATCAGCAAATAAAAATGTTTTCTTTCTTGAATTAGCCTATGTACCCCTGGGACTTTTTTAAAACAATTCCTGGAGGGCTCTTAATCCTACCAGGTTGTTACAGCTTTGGAACAGGTCTCTTTACTAACTTCCTTAATATACGAGTATGCCCTTGAAGTGACAAGGGCAAATTTTCTTAGTATGATTTAAGACATATAGGGTTATATATTATATTTTCATTAAGAAATGGTTAAGAATCATCCAGTTGGGCCACTGCAGATACAGACTCAGGAGATCTATATCACATTATAGAATTGAACAGTTTCCAGAGGCTAAAACAGGCTTTTAGATCAGTCATTTGTAAATGCAAGTTCAATTTTTAAATTCATTTTTATGTTTTAATCTTTACATCTTTAGTAGCTTGAACTGAAGTGTGTTTTCATTTGTGCTGGAGAAATATCAAATGCATTGTATAAACAGATTACAATGTTTAAGACTTTATAATTACTGAGTAACTTAATAAGAAAAGAAAACACATTGCTTTTGAGAAAAGGTGATAATATTTTTATCTGCTGAAAATACACCTTCAGGTGTCTTAGAGCTGATAGGAAACTCAAGTTGGCCCATCTATTGTAATATTTTCTTTTCAATTATCACTTTAAACGCTTTTCATCTTTCCTTTTTTAAGCTAGTGCCAAAAGAAATTTGTTCTGTAATTTATTAGTTATTCCACGTTTTAGAATGATTGAGGGGAACAACTGCTTTAGACTTCATCGCTTTTTAATGAGAAATCAAATATACAAATTAAGAGTGCACTTTTTTTGCTTATTATTTTTTAGAAGGTAATATAAATGAAAATAAAAGAGTATGTGGATATTTCAGGGTGATTGGTGTGAAGCTGTAAGGACAATGATATTGAGCAAATACTCTGCATTAATTTTATTTAAAGTTATTAGTTCTTGTATTAAGGTTCCAAAACTTATATAGGAAAGTAAATGTAAAGTAATGCACATTGGAAAACATAATCCCACTATGCATACAACATGATGGGCTCTAAATTAGCTTTTACCACTCAAGAAAAAGATCTCGAAGTTATCATGGATAGTTCTCTAAAAACATCCGTTCAATGTGCGGCGGCAATCAAAAAGGCTAAAAGAATGTTAGGAACCATTAGGAAAGAGAGACAGATAAGACAGAAAATATCATAATGCCTCTATATAAATCCATGGTAGCCCAGACCTTGAATACTGCATGCAGATGTGGTCACCCCATCTCAAAAACAATATATTGGAATTGGAAATGGTACAGGGAAGGGCAACAAAAATGATTAGGGGTATGGAACACCTTCTGTATGAGCTGAGATTAAAAAGACTGGGACTTTTCACCTTGGAAAGAGATGACTAAGGGGGGATATGACAGAGGTCTATAAAATCTTGACTGGTGTGGAGTAAGTGAATAAGGAAATGTTATTCACATAACACAAAAACTAGGGGTGACCCAATGAAATTAATAGGCAGTAGGTTTAAAACAATAGGAAGTACTACTTCACACACTGCACAGTCAACCTCTAGGGTTCAAAAAAGAACTAGATAAGTTCATGGAGGACAGGTGCATCAATGGCTCTTTAGCCAGAATGGTCAGAGATGCAACACCATGCTCTGAGTTTCCCAAGCCTGTTTGCCAGCAGCTGGGAGGGGACAACAGGGGATGGATCACTTGATGATAGTGTGTTCTTTTCATCCCCTCTGAAGCACCCATTGGCCACTGTCAGAAAACAGGATACAGGGCTAGATGGACCATTGGTCTGACCCCATATGGCTGTTCTTATGATACCTCAAGGTTTGGGATTGTGAATATCTTGCTGTATTATCTCTTTATTGTTCTAAATGTACATATCAAAACTTAATATATTGCTTTAATTGTTGTTTGTATATATTTTCTCTTTCTTTATATAGGAATTAGACACAGTGCTTCTGTCACCTAATTTCTAAGTTATCTGCAAAAAAAAAAAAAAAAAAACAAACCCTAGAGTTTTCAGGTGCCTAAGTAGCCCCTGGAATCACAGTTAAACTTGCCCCCGCTACCAAAATCTGCAATGGTGGCCCTAAATATAGCCCCAAGATTTCACCACTGGTTCCAAAAAGGGCACATTTTGATAGTTAATGGAAGCCTATCAAGAGTTGCCCACCCTTTGGTTTTCACCTCTGCCCAAGGAGGGCTCTTATTGAGGAGTACTGGTACAAATATAGCCCTTAATCCTAGAAAATCTTCACTATGGGAGTTTTTAATCCCCCAGACAGTACCACTGCACTGGACTTCCTGCATGAATGAAAACTGATGACATGGCAAATAACGGACAAGATGAGGCCCTTGAGTAATTATCACTTGACTTAGGAAAACGTACTGTAGTGTGGCTAACAAACAAAACTCACCACCAGTTCCCAATTTTAGAAAGGCGCTGAGTACATTACAGGGAAAGAACAAAATATTTAACATACTGTTTTTAAAATGTGTGGTTCATTTTTAATGCTGATCTCCTTCACAGAATACATCCCAGACACCACCAAAAAGCCACATTTAGGGGAAAAGTTATTCAAAATATTTCCATGCACAATGCATTCAGAAATATTCATTTTTAAAAACAGCATAATGACTTTGAGCTGTACAGTCATCTTCCTTACCTTGCTGGTTTGATCACCTCACTGCTCCCTTTGAATCCCTTTGCAGGTTCCCCATCTCCTGTTGTATCAGATTTAAACAATATGTCTTCTCCTTCAAGATGCTAAATCTGCCCCTCTGCTTATCTACCCTTGCTGAAATTTGTTGATTTGAACAGACATCCATTTTGTTGTTCCTTTCTCCTGATCTCAGTATACCTGTAATCTCCCTGGGGTACAGACTGTCCATTACAGTATGTATGGAAAGTACCAAACCATATTATGGGCATTACCACAAACAATAAGTTGAGATACTTTTATTTTTTACATTTATATTGGACATTACTTATGATAAAGTTTTCCTGACTAACTTATTATGAAAGAGAAGTAGTGATGTCAGTTCAAATTGGGTTCTATTTTGCATTTACAATGGGGGTTCAAACTCCTTTTTGTTGTTGTTTTTTAAAGACAAAACAGTGTATCCACCCCAAATTTTGAGCATATGATCTCTGAGAAAACTTGAATTTTCTGAGGATTTAAAAAAAAAAGCTGTTAATTAGTTTAAGTACTAATCAGTTAAAAATTGGTTTTAAAGAAAGAAACTCATGAAAACAAGTATCTCTAAAGAATCTCAGGGTTTTTCAGGCACCATTAATTTGAAAACTACAGACTGTATACAATCACAAACGTGTACCTAGTAAGAATATCAGGGTCTCCTTAGAATTATATTATTTTTTAATTAACAAAAGAAATTAGCATCATTTATCATAACAAGCTTTCTGTGCTGCATTTAGCCAATGGAGAAAATGTTGTAACATCCATTCTCTAGTTCAGTATGCAGATGCCTTGTTGAACAGTTTAGGAGAAGAATACAACGTGCCTTTTGCCATAGCCCACCTGTAACATCCCTACAGCTGAAGCAGAGCATTAATATGGAGCACAGGGAACATGTTTTGCATGTCACAGTCATTCATGTTACACTGAAGAAGATTTTCAACAAAGGAATGGCTATTTTGATGAATACAAGGATTTCTGTGAGATCAGTTTTCCCCAAATATGAGCACGTGCCTAAGAACATAAGTACAGCCATACAGTGTCAGACCAGTGGTCTATCTAGCCCAGTATCCTGTCTTCTGGCACTGGCCAAAGCTTCAGAGGGAATGAACAGAACAGACAATCATCAACAGGGGAGGGATAGCTCAGTGGTTTGAGCATTGGCCTGCTAAATGTGAGTTCGATCCTTGAGGGGGCCATTTTGGGATCTGGGGCAAAAATCTGTCTGGGGATTGGTCATGCTTTGAGCAGGAGGTTGGACTAGATGACCTCCTGAGGTTCCTTCCAACCCTGATATTCTGTGATGCATCCTGTTGCCCATTCCCAGCTTCTGGCAAACAGAAGCTACGGATGCCCAGAGCATGGTGAACTTATCTAGTTCTTTTTTGAACTCTGTTATAGTTTTGGCCTTCACAACATCCTCTGGCAAGGAGTTCCACAGGTTGACTGTGTGTTATGTGAAGAAATACTTATTTTGTTTGATTTAAACCTGCTGCCTATTAATTTAATCGGGTGACCCCTGGTTCTTGTGTTATGTGAAGGTGTAAATAACATTTCCATCGTCACTTTTTCCACACCAGTCAACCTTTTATAAACCACTATCATATCCCCTCTAAATCATCTCTTTTCCAAGCTGAAAAGTCCCAGTCTTATTAATCTCTCCTCATATAAAAGCTGTTCCATACCCCTAATCATTTCTGTTGCTCTTCTTATCTTTGCCAATTCTAATATGTCTTTTTTGAGATGGGGCAACCAGAACTGCATGCAGTATTTAAGGTATGGGCTTACGATTAATTTATATAGTGGCATTTTGATATTTATTGTCTTATTAGCTATCCCTTCCCTACTGGTTCCTAACATTGTTAGCTTTTTGGACTGCTGCTACACATTTTGCAGATGTTTTCAGGGAACTATCCACAATGAATCTAAGATCTCTTTCTTGAGTGGTAATAGCTAATTTAGACCCCATCATTGTACATGTATAGTTGAAAGTATGTTTTCCAGAGTGCATTACTTTGCATTTATCAACATTGAATTTCATCTGCCATTTTGTTGCTCAGTCACTCAGTTTTGTGAGATCCCTTTGTAACTCTTTGCAGTCAGCTTTGGACTTAACTATCTTGAGTAATTTTGTATCATCTGCAAATTTTGCCATCTCACTGTTTATCCCTTTTTCCAGATCAGTTATGACTGTGTTGTACAGCACTGGTCCCAGTACAGACCCCTGGGTGACACCACTATTTACCTCCTCCATTCTGAAAACTGACCACTTATTCCTCTTTGTTTCCTATCTTTTCCCCAGTTACTGATTCATAAGAGGACCTTCCCTCTTATCCCATGACAGCTTACTTTGCTTACGAGCCTTTGATGAGGGACCTTGTCAAAGGCCTTCTGAACCCCTAAGTACACTATATCCAATGGATCACCCATGTCCACGTTTGATGACTTCCCCTGCCCCCCAAATAATTGCAATTTATTGGTAAGGCCTGATTTCCCTTTACAAAACTGTGGAGAAAGGAGGAGAAGGGGTCAAGGTTCTTTGGGATAGAGGTGAGGGTGGAATTTGTGGAAGGAGGTACTGAAAGGATGGCATTCCTTTTGGGGCAAAGTTTAAGGTTGTGGAGCATTGTAGATGTGTATTAAGGCCATGCTAGTGATGAGTTGGGTCTCTCCCAGGATGGGGGACTAGAGGACATGTGCTGTTGGTTGCCTTACCTTTTAATTTCCTTGCTGTTGGGACTGTGTATTAGGCAGGTTACATATAAGCCATCCTTAACTGACCCACAGCATAATCTTTTAGTGCAATAAATAATGCAACAGCACAAATGTGTTCCATGTACTTTCCTAACTTCAAAGGGTACTTAAACAAGGACCATTGGCAACTGAATCTCCCTGGCTAAGTACACCCATCAAAATGTGCCCTTTGAAAAGCTAGTAGTGACTATATTAGTCAAAACATGCCTTCCTTACTCTGGGATGAAAAACAAGGGGCAAAAAGGTAGGGGAGGGTCTTGCCATACCTACCAAAATAGGCAGCCATAGATCACTTGACCAGATGGTGGACAAATTTTGACATGGCACCATTTCTGAGAACCTACTGGTAGAGTCTGCACACACTCTTAGAAGGAATGAGCCTCATATCAGCAGCAGCTGCTCCTGGTCTAACTACAGTAAAGTGCCTAATCCACAAGCCCTCCAAAATCACAGTCACTGCAGAGTACAGATTATTTAGGAAGAGGGTAAAATCCCTTTAAGGAAATGGCACTGAAGGAACCGGAGCCACTAAATGCCATGGCCTGACCTCACGGCCCCCAGGCTGCAAGGTTAGCCAGGCAACAAGGGAAGAATTTGAAAGGCCCTTTCTCTGAAGCAGAGCATTAAAACAAAGCCCTCCAGGAACAAACATCCTTCCTCCTGTGTCACTGGTACTCATTTGGAATGACCGGAAAGAGAACATTATCAACAATATCCTGGAGATGTGATGCGTTCACTGCAGTGACTGGACACAGAGGTAGCACCGTCTAACCGAGAAGGGGCAGCCCTGCTTGGACACTGCCTCAGGAGGGAGAGAGGGAATGGAGGGGCTCACAAAACTGAGGGAGGGTGGGGAGATGCACCCCCAGAAACAAACTACTCACCTTCTCCAATAAATCTGAGCATCAGGTTAAGGGGGAAACAGCATTCAAGTGACCTCACAATCTGATTTTCCGGTGACTGCCAAAGAATTTCCAAGCCCCATGAGAATTAATCCAGTGCCGATGTAGCGTAGACACTTACTCCAGTGTTGGATGGGGTTCTTCTGCCACTGTAGTACATCCACCTCTCTGAAAGGTTAGCTTGGTCAACTGAAGAACTCTTCCATACATAGTGCTGTCTACACTGGGGCTTATGTCAACAACTATGTCTCCCAGGGAATTTTTCACACCCCTACGCAACATAGCTAGGTCAACCTATGTTTTATATAAAGCAACAGAGGGTCCTGTGGCACCTTTGAGACTAACAGAAGTACTGGGA